TGTTGTTTTTTTAGTTGGAGCGCCCTCTGCTGTCTTTCTGTGCGACTGCAGACTCTACTGGCCTYTCTGTTCCCAGGTGCAAACAGGTCATCCACTTCAAAACTAAAATGCCCTCTCTTTGCATCCACTGTGATTTAAAGCAGACAGATATCACTAAACAGGCAATGAGACCATTCTCCTCTTTGTTCCAGAGATGTGTTTGGGGTTAGCTGGCCCTGCCATGGAATACCCTTCAGCCCTCAATCAGAAAATGGATGGATCCTGWAGGAAATGTCCAGAAAAGCTGATTGTTTTCCAGAGACAGTGATAAATCTCATTTTAGTTCTATGTGTAGTTCTGAAAAATGGCCACTTATTCCATCTTATCCACTGTCTGTCTRGAACAGAAATTTCTAAACTCTGGCAGATAAGAATTATCTGGGGGGAATTATCTACTTCTCTTAGGTGCCTRGAGTGTTTTGGGCAGATAAAAACAATGTAAAAAACATAGTAGAAAATTACATTTGAGACCAAAAATGCAACCTGAGTCAGAAAAGAAAGACCTGTGGTGTTGGGCTGGTGGACAAAGCTTCTCAGTGGAGCTGAGAYTTGTCATGACTTACAGGATCATATGATTCATGTAGAAGCCTACTGACATCTAGGGGCCACAGGGAACCCACAGATTGCACTCAAGGATGCCCACCTGAGGGGAAGACCCATAGCTGAATCCTYTTGAAGGAGAATCTAGGTTTGCCTTTGCCCAGATAACCTATGGATTTTTTGTCTTGATTTTGAAGATTGAGAAGACAGAAGAGATCCATCACCAATTCCAACAGGTTTTGACTGAAATAAGCAAACTCACTAATGATTATGAACTGAACTTAGCCAATAGGCTGTTTGGAGAAAAAACATTCCTCTTCCTTCAAGTAAGTTTTGCTGTGTCCACCACATCTGTGAGTGTTAGTTTGAATGGCCAAGTGACCATCAGGACTGTGGGTTGGCTAAGACCATCAGGACTAAGTTGGCTGCTTGGCTCTACCCATATCACTGATGGTCTGTGCCCCAGACATTTATTTTTAACTCTGGTATTCTGAGCATGATTTTTGCCTTAATTCTCTTACATCTGCATAAAATTGTGTGTGGAGGCATTTAAAGTGATTTTCCAGGGAATTCAATGTTTTTTTTTTTAACCTTAATCATCCTAATCAACTGGTACTTTTATTTAGACCTGTTGGTAATTGACAAATTGACTATTAAACTCCTCTCTATATCTTTCCTGTTTTTCCTAAAGAAATACTTAGATTATGTTGAAAAATATTACCATGCATCTCTGGAACCTGTTGATTTTATAAATGAAGCTGATGAAAGTCGAAAGAAGATTAATTCCTGGGTGGAAAGCCAAACAAATGGTAGAGTATGGGTGGGTCGTTGGTCATACAAAGACTTCTTGACTGTCTTCTGTGAGTGAAGGCCTGGGCTTGGTTCTGCGTGGGAGCCAGGTGGACACTCTAGGAAGGGCTTGAGATGGGTTTTGCAGGATTGAACAGGCAGGGCTGGGCGTAAAGGGGAGGACACTGCAGATAGTGAAATGGACACGGCAAATGGGGAGATTCAAGGGGAACCCAGGAGGGGACCCTAGGAAGCGGCTGTGTGGAGACCCTTGGAGGACTCTTTGCACTTGGCTGTGTATCAGAGTACCATTGGGGTTCTTGGAACTGGGCTCTTGCCTGTCTTGAGTATATTCTTTCCTGCATATCACAACATCTCTGTTTGTGTCTGGGTCCCTAAGTGCAAATGTCACAGAGAGTTCCCTTTCSCTTTGTTAAGAGAGAAACACACAGCTCTCCCATCAAGACCTGACTCTGCTACCTACAGCTGCAGCCACCTGGGCCTCATCTCCACGTGGGCATCGTACAGGGAGGATACAATGCTCAGTCCCATCTACATCAGAGAAYTGGATGAATTCCTCTCCCCATTATCCCCTTCTCATTTCCTAGTATGGGTCAAAAACACGAGAAATACTGGAAAGGAAAGTTAATGTGGAGATTCACTTTGGGAAACAATAGCTGATATTTAGCATTTTTTAATTCCATTTTCAGGGAGATTGCTGTTATTACAGAATGCGCTTCCTTTTCATGCTTCATTTAAAGAAAGAAACTTAAAATAATCAGAATATAAGGGGTCTTTCAAAAGATTGGCTGAACAGTGTTTTCAGAATGTAGTGTGGGATGGACTGAACCCAGAGCCGAAAATATCAGTTCCATTTTTCATAGAATAAGCAATCTCTCAACCTCTCTTGGGAGCCATATTTACTAGGGAAGAACAGTTGCTCACCAAGTGCTTATGATGTGYCAGACAGTGTTTGGGGCTTTCTTCATATTAAATCACTGACTCCTTCCAACAACCCTGTGAGGCAGGTTTTATTCCTATTTTACAGACGTGGAAACTGAGGCACAGAGAGCTTAAATAACTTGCCCAAGATTGCTCAGCTGATAAGAGGCAGAACTGGATGCCATCAGAGGCAATCTGACCCCAGAGGCGGGACTCTTAACCATCAACCTCAATTTATCCAGTGGGATAAATAGGCGATGGGCAGAGTGACAACCTCCCCACCGATTCTGCAGCGAACGCATTGTCGGCAAGGCCTTCAGGTGCTGACCTGGCTGAATTTTCAGTCATCAGTCAAGGCTGTCTGCGTGCTAYCTGCCACACATACCATCTTTGATCTGGAAGATGGACCAATCTTTCCTTTTTTTTTTTCTGTTTGCAGAAAAAATCAAGGACCTGTTTCCAGATGGCTCTCTTAGTAGCTCTACCAAGTTGGTGCTGATAAAYACAGTTTACTTTAAAGGACAGTGGGATAGGGAGTTTAATAAAGAAAATACCAAGGAAGAGGAATTTTGGCTGAATAAGGTATGGTTCTTTATTTACGTGGTGTGCTTTCACGTGGAATATAAGATCTGAAGTCATATTTGAGTAAACATTACACCGGTGGCAAATGCCCCTTCTGTGACTGATCTTTAGCATCATTATTATCTGATTACTTCAGTGAGCTAGCTTGTTGCCTGTGCCTTTGGTCTAATGACTTTTGACATCCTGTGCTCTGTTAACTTGTTGCAGAATACAAGTAAGTCTGTGTGGATGATGGAACAGCACCATTCTTTTAGTTTCGTTTTCCTGGAAGACTTGGATGCCAAAATCGTGGGGATTCCATATAAAAACAATGAC